TAATATTTTCATTAAGATATTTGCATTAAATAATAGATATTTCAATTACATTATAATTATTCAATTTCGATGCACAAAACAAATCGATGATCGTTAAACTTTACAATTTTTATAATAACAAATGCTCTAAAATATCGTCTTTCTCTAATCTTATGTAAAATGTAAAAGAAACAATGTATTTTTTATATAACATGTGTAATCTGCGAAAAATTTTATCCACATGTAACAATCAGATGAGAGACTATCTAAACTCGTCTTTTTGTAAAAAAATTCGATAAAGTTTTGCGCTCTCAAAACTTGAAGAACTCTCGTTCGCGTTGTCAAGCTCTCTTATCTCCATTACCGGTGATCACTTGAAATTGCACGCGAGCGCGCACCTTTCCTTCGCATTCGCCACCAGAGATTGTCCGGTCGGAGAGTGAAAAACTTCGGTATCCCCGGTATATAATCGCATCAAACGACAACAAATCTACAGCGCCGCGGAATATAAGGGTGCGAACCGAGGGATCCGGGGGATCAACCGGTCCGCAGCGCGCGGGAGAGGAGGAGAGAGCAGGAAGGCGATCGTAGGCAGTGTCACGTGCTGCTGTCACCAGCACGGATTATATTATATAGGAATGGCAGCGAATAGGTGTAGATATAAGTACCAAGCGGCAGTTAATAAATATGATAATGGCGGGCGGAATGAGAGAAAGAGAGAGAGAGAGAGATAGGGAGAGGGAGGCGAGAGGTTACCGTGGGGCGCGATATGGGATACCACTGTATAAGAGTGACCACCGGGAAGCGGGAGGCCTGTCATTGTCAGGACCTCTCGTCGTATGTCACGCGACACGTAGCGCGTGCACACACACACACACACACACACACACATGAACACATAGACACATACACACACACATATATAGAGTGTCCCAAAAGTCCCGGACCGGTCGAATATTTCATAAACTATGCACTTTAGAAAGAAATGTTTCAAACAAAAGTTGTATAGCTTGAAGGGGGCCATCAGATAGTGGCAATGATTTGACATGGGAGAGTCATTTGAAAGTCATGTGAAGATCACCGTCAATTTCTTAAATGGAACCCCCTATTTTTTATTACATATTCGTGTAGCTTATCTCGAGAGCTTTTCAAAACACTATAATAAAGTATTTCTTCATTGAGGACTTTTCGAGTTATGAGGCTTGAAATCATTTCTTAATTTTGCATAAACCATAAAATATCTAGTAAAATATTCATTTTTCGATTATCTTACCTTAATACTTTTATGTACAAAATAATGAGAGGAATCAATTGGTCTAAAGAAAAAACAGTTGTTTTTAAGAAAAAGATATGTAATTGTTAATTGCAAATTACATATTTTTTTCTTAAAAACAACTATGTTGTTTCTTTAGACCAATTGATTCCTCTCATTATTTTGTACATAAAAGTATTAAGGTAAGATAATCGAAAAATGAATATTTTACTAGATATTTTATGGTTTATGCAAAATTAAGAAATGATTTCAAGCCTCATAACTCGAAAAATACTCAATGAAGAAATACTTTATTATAGTGTTTTGGAAAGCTCTCGAGATAAGCTACACGAATATTTAATAAAAAATAGGGAAGTCCATTTAAGAAATTGATGGCGATTTTCACGTGACTTTTAAATGACTCTCCCATGTTAATCATTGCCACTATCTGATGGCCCCCTTCTAGTCATATAACTTTTGTTTGAAACATTTTTTTCTAAAGTGCATAATTTATGAAATATTCGACTGGTCCGGGGACTTTTGGGACACTCTGTATACATATGTGCGTGGCGTAACAGCGCGTTGTTTCACTGATTCCTTTCTTCCCTTCTGATCGGAAATATCGGTGTGGGATATTTTTTTGGATGATACAAACTATTCCGAGTTTTCTTTCAAACTTGAAATAATTTGGGTCCTTCGAGAGGTTGGAATTGGTTGAGATATCAAACGATTCGAACATGAATTCCGAGCGAAACCTCCTGGATGAATCGTGAAAAGAATCAACGAGAAGTGAATTATTCTTGCTCGTGAAATAGGGAAAAAGTCCTTTGCAGTAAAAGTTACATGAAAAATACATTTTCTCTTTTAACATTTTATTGTTAAAGACAGAATATAACGAGATTATATATATTTATTTATATTTATATATATTTGTTATTTATTATAAAAATTGTAAATTTGACGATTAATTGAAAACATAATACATTAGTAAGAATTATAATATACATTGTAAAGAGTCGCTGACGTTTAAAATAATTCCTTAAATATATTATCATTAAATATTACTAAAATCTATAATTTTTTGTTGTAACTATAAATATATAAGTTATAAATCTATAACTTTCTTGTATTGACTTCTTTTTTATAATTTTTATAATGACATATGTAAAAAGGACGAGAGAAGATTCATATGAACGAGTCATTAATATATCATTCTCTTTAATAATAATAATTGCACAATGTGTACATTATATTATATATACATATATTTATTTAATTTACACGTGATTCTTTTATGTATGTGTGCAATCGAGAAAGCCATAAATTACTTGAATAATATATCTGTAATCGTATTAGAAGGTTCAACATGTATATCAAAATAGCATATTGATATTTTGTTAATTTCTATTAATAACATAGCAAAAATGGAATTTATATATTAAAAGCAATTACATATAAATTTTCTTCTTATTTTATAGAATAGTTAATAGAATTTTGTTTCTTTACGAATGCAAAATATTCGAATATTTACAATTTTTCAAGATTAGAAGAGAAATTTATCATTTTCATCATATTATTTTCTCCGCGATATTTTTACTCGATTTTTTCTTGACATCTAAATTATTGGAACAATCTATAATAAAACACGAACACAGAAGAACTCTCAACATTATCACGCGATTATTTAAGATTTATCTTTTAAGAAATATTTTAAATCCTTTGCGAATTAACATATTTCCCTATTATTAATAAAAATTTTATGTAGCAAAATGTTTTTAATTCTCTCGAATAAAAAAGAAATATTCTCTATTTATGAATTATACAAAACTTTACATCTCGCATTTTCTCCCTCTAATTATCTATAAATTTATCCACCTCGAATTAATAATAATTATCGCAAAATAATAATTGCCAATTCCTTTCCATCCCCTGACCTAGTAACTTGCGCTCTGAGCGCAAGTTCTCCGGCGAGCCACGTTTGACGTCGCGCCACCCCGGAGTAATTAGTCACGGTGCATTTAATAAATCGCCGGCTTCTCTCTCCCGGGGATGGTTAAGCCGTGCCTCTCTTCCCCTTGGAAAATATCCAATAACGACCGGCTGACTCCGCTCGTCACCGGCAGCTCCGAGATACCTGGCATTAACCTTCGTCTATCCGTCCAAGAGATCGGCTTACCTTAATAATTGTAGGTACACGTCGCGGGAATTGCCCCCTTTCTCGACAGGGGGGCCTCACCCCTTAAGCAGGGGTGTTACCATGGCGTCTCATCCGGCGCGTCGTCAAGGCGAAGTGATCGAAAATCGCGAGAGATGTAATGAAACATTCTTAGCGCAACGAGGGCTCGTATTTTGATTGGTGAATGGCACTCCTTGTCCAGAGCGAGATCCTCGTGAGAAGATCGAATGAGTTTACTTGTGTAAGAATCAGTGTAATCTAGTATTCCTCAACGCATATAACGTTCGTAGGAATTATTCATTCATTCGTTCTAATGTCTGTTAGTGAACTCGTAATGCTGAAATTTATTGTAACTTATCGATTTATTCAAGTCAATGAATTAAAGAAGATGGGGAATAATTTTCGTTCGATCGTTCTATTTTTCATCAGAATTTAAAAGAATTTTCCTTATGGATTAATCGAATAAATGTTTCTAATTTTTCAAAGTAGGGATAAATAAGAATAATTTTTAATTAAACATTATATTAAAATATTTAAATTTTGTTAATATTATATTTATAATATTGAAATTTCTGTAAATAATTAGAAATAAATTTTTATATACATAAATTTCTATATCAATAAGTATATTTGATATTGAAAGAGAAACCTCGATTATCGTTCTCGGATGAACAAAAGGAACAAAAGCGAGAAAGTATAGAGAAAATGTAAACGAGATTCAGTTTTTTGGCGTTTGAATAAGTATCGTGTTTTATTAATATCTCTCTTATTATTTACAAAATTTTATAATAATCTCTAGCTGTGATTTTCTCATCGTGACTCGCTACTCACTATCGTCGATTCTATACTTTTTTTCTTTATCCTGCGTTAACCGTTATAATGTAATGCTCCATAATGCTCGTCCTCGCTAAATCGTTTATGTAGAAGTTGAACATCGCTCGATTTAGAAATTCGTTGATTCGACATACACACTCACACACATTCACACACACACACACACACACACACACACATAATGCACTTCTCATGGTGCGCGCACGTCATTTACGACAAACGTGTATTTACAATGTGTCATTTTACAATGAAGTATGCGAAATTGTAAACTTTACATTTGTCCTAAGATTCCTCCACTTGCTACGCGGAAACGTTCATCGAATTCCAGAAACGCTTCGTTTCTGTCGTCCTTTTCTTCCATCAATTTCTCGGTCTGTCTCATTTTCTTTCTACAGAAAGGAAACTTTCAAACTTTTCTCTCTACTTCTTTTCTCTTTTCCATTTCCAGCACTGTTGCTCACAAATAAAATCGCGTTACGGATATATAAATTTTTTTCGTCTCGATAAATCACACATCTTTCTGTAATTTTCAACAAATTCATTAAGATTATTATTTATTATTTCTTCTTTTGTTCAATTTATAATATGCATTACGCGGGAATGTAACAGAATTTCAATGGAATATAACATTTTATTAATTCCAGCAATTATTTGAGTAAGAATTTTTGACATAATCGAGATAAAAAATATATATTATATATATTCTATAAAAACGAGAATATTCTCTTTTTCAAAAAATGATATTCGATAAAATTAATAAAGACCGTTTTACATTCGTTTTTTAGTTTTGACATTTCTTCTGCTACAACCAGATTTATACTTGTAAAATAATTACACTTTCTCATTTTTAAAAAAATAAACGCAGTTTTCGTGCAGAATGAATGAAAATTTCTAAAAATCGTCGAAACATATCTCGCGGGAATTTTCATTGTGAAATCGGTATTTTTGTCGATCGGTCGCGTATCGTATAAAAATGTCACGTCGCGGACGAAATAATATATGCATCGACGTAACAGTATATTTGCATACGCGGACAATGCAACGAAATATCTCGCCGGAATCCCGCGCAACGCATTGTTCGTAAAACGACTTTCCGCGAGCGACACAATGTCGCGGCTCGCGAATGTCGACGCCGCGTCGGATGTCGCGTCGCGTTCGGCTTGAAATCGCAGTCACAATCACCGCGGGGTGTACTATTTCGTAATTCGAATCGATGGGTTTTAATCCGTCGAGTGGACACCGGGGCAACTGGTAATTCGTGCGAGGCGAACAATCCGTTTCTCTCTTGCAATGTGTGTTTTGTTACCGCCGCACGCACTTTACAATGTCGTTTATTGTCGCGGCGAGATCCTGCAAACGAATTTCAACATACGAACGCGATCTGTGGAAATTGTATTTTTTTGCGCAGATGAAACGCTCTTCCGGAAAATAGGCGCGTATTTCGACCAAGGGATCGATGCCGAAAATCAATTACTTCCCATACAGCACAGAACCCAACAAACACAGAATATTGCAGTAATATTGCGCCTATAACAACGCTGCAAAATATTGCAGCGTGTTGCTGCAATATTTTGCGTTGTGTGGGAACATTGTAGCAATGTTGCGGGAAAATTGCAATGTGTTGTAATGTTGCAACGACATTGCAATATTGCCGCAATATTGCTGCAATGTTGCTGCAATATTTTGTGTTGAGTGGGAACATTGCAGCAACGTTGCTGCAATATTTTGTGTCGGATGGGAACATTTCAGCAATATTTTGTGTTGGGTGGGAACATTGCAGCAATGTTGCTGCAATATTTTGTATTGGATGGGAACATTTCAGCAATATTGCGGGAATATTGCAATGTTGTTGTAATGTTGCAATATTATCGCAATATTGCTGCAATATTCTATATTCTATGGATTACAAAATACATAGGAATATTCTATAAGTGTACACAGAAATTTGTGTTCTTCATTCTGGCTTCAAATACTGAAACTTGACATTGTAAAGTGACAATGCATCATGTTGCATTGCATTGGAACTGAATTTGGGTTGATCCTTTAGCGATGCACATTGCTTTAAGGAATCTATAATTTCTCTAATTAAAATATACGATACTGAATATTGAAATGTTTGACGTCTTAAGCGAAAGTCTTATTCGAACAAATCTTTGCCACGTAAAAAAGGAATTGACGTCAAATCATTCAGAACAAACGGAATATTTATACATTTTGCATATCTATTTAATATCTTTTTCTCCAATAAAAATGTAAATTTCGAAAATATCCTTGATTTTATCATATTGTACGATTTTGTTTTCATCGAATCATTTCAAGATCTTTAACTAGTAATTTTAATTAAACTTTTTATGCGGTTTCCATGTTTTTTCTTCCTCCAACGTGTATATTTTTTATTACCAGAATGCAGAAAGTACATCGGCTAATAAAATATCTGCAGCACATGATGATTGTGATCATTCTCCCCGAACGCGACCATCATCTCTCCCATCTGATGCTAACTAATCGCACCGTTGCTATCATGTTTTACAACCTTTTGTCGTCTCATACGTTTGTTTATTGATTTATCGAACGATCTGGGAACTGCCATTTTCAAATAAATAAAGTGCGCTGTTTGGGAAATACGTGTCATTACATAAAATACGTGTAGTCTTTGCGTAACAAGAAAATACGTCCACCAAAGATATCCATGCCTCTTCCTCGCGAGACTTTCTTCCATCGATCTTTCCGCGGAAAGACTTAAAGTGTCTGCTTCCCTTGCGAGGGACGCAAGCGGCTGTTGATCCTTCGCAACGAACGCTCGCGATGACAGATACAAAATCACGTGGCTCGATTGGCCGTATCATACCAATGTACGATAGTCCCGATTTGAAGTGTTCTCATCGTAATACCACCGATTTTCGACCATGATACTTCACTGACCATCCGATAATTGCAAATTATCACACTCTAATAGTCCCTCCTACAATCACTGAGCGTGTCCCCATCGATTGTCGATTGCTGCGTTAGCGTAAAAGGTACACGCGCCCAAATGACGGATCATCCTGCCGGATAATTGTGCAGCGCAGCTTACGGGCAAGTCTTTCGAGCGGAAATGGCTTCAGCCGATCGCTAATCGCCCTAACACTTGGGACGATACGCGATTCCACCGGGCCCGAAGCCTCAGGTTCATCCCGAGGACGTCGTCCGTTCCCGGGCGATTCGACGATCAGTCGCAACGTCGGTCACCCTCCCGGTCCTAAGGACTGTCGTCGGGTATGGCGTACCAAGCAGCCGGATCCGCGGCGAGGGCCCAGGGGCCTGCGACGGAGGGGTTGGCGTAGGCCGCGGCCCCCGCCGCGGATGGCGCGCACTACCAGGCGCGGCCCTGCAACGGCAGGTACGCGCCGCACTGCGGCTGCTGTTGCTGCTGCATGCTCTGCTGGGCGCCAGCCCGCGTGTACGAGCAATGCTGCAGGCTCTGGCTCGAGCTCATGACGTGGCTGACGCCGGCAGCCACGACCGAGTGATGGGACGAGGCGGCCGCGTGGTGGGTCCCGTGCGGGCTCGACGCCGCGGCCATGTGCGGCGCCGGGCTCGCCAGGGCCGCACTGGGCCCGCCGCGGCTGCCCTCGTTCCCGCCGCCCCCGCCGCTCCCGCACGGCTTCCCGTCCTTCACCAGCACCGGCACCGCGACCCGTCGCGGCGAACTCGCGCTCTGAAACAGTCAGATGGTCCCACATCAGTAATGTCGCTCTTTCCTGAAAATATTGATACAGGGTATCCCAAAACTCATAATCAATCTTCCAAAGACAGATTCCTGGGATCATTTGGAGACGATTTTTCCTCAGCGAAAATGTCGATGAAGGTCATCATCATTATTTGCATGTTCCCGATTTTTGTCATCATATATCTTTGCAATTAAGTCTGAAATTAAAACTCAAGTAAAGTAAACTCTATTTAAAATTAATCGAAGAATGTGGTTTTGTTAATATTTTTAAAACTCAAGTAAAGTAAACTCTATTTAAAATTAATCGAAGAATGTGATTTTGTTAATATTTTATTTCTACAAAGCTTAGTTTACGAAAAACCTCTTATTTTCAATCACTTATAATTCGAAAATTATTAGCGCCTCGACATTTTCGTTGAGGAAAAATCGTCTTCCGATGATCCCAGGAATCTGTCTTTGAAAGATTGATTATGAGTTTCGGGACACCCTGTCTGCAGGATGTTCCAGATCACCCGTACACGATAAAAAACATTTTGTACTTCTGTTAAAATTTTCTCCTGTAAAAATGTTTCGTGCTTAAATTTTTAACATACTCTTATGTTAATGTAACATATCATTGCGATATTTTGACATTTCTGCGTTGAGTTAATATTCATCGTTTCTAAGAGTTAAAACAACACAATTAATATGTAAATGCACGAATTTTTGATGAAATATGTTATATGTTAAACTTAACAGATAAATTGTATTATTTTTCTCTCTATAACAGTTTCCACATGTTAAATTGACATATCTCTTCTGTTATTTATCATAAAAATGTAAGAATAACATTTTCTTTTAATTAAATTTAACATTATAAATATGTTAATTTAACATAAATTTTATTTCCAGATAAAGTTTAAGTGTTACACTTTTGCGTCAATTTTTAAACATATTATTTGTGTTATTTATTTACTTGCCTTTTGTTAAATTAGCATTAAAATTAGAGTGGATAAATTGAGACATGTGAAATATGTTAAATTTAACACAAAATTTTTTACTGTGTACACTTCTTTTAAAATGAAAATAAATGGTTTTTATCAAAAATCGCGAACAATTTTTAAGTAAATCGGATACGCTCTATCAAATGGTGATATTTTTAACTTTTGATTCCGACCTATGGAAATACGCTATCCGGATCGGAAGTTGAATTTTTTTAGGGGAGCATGGTACTTTTTATTACAGATTCGAATTGTACGTGAAAAATAAGAAACTTTTGTATCAAACGTTTTTTCTGAAAGTGCCTCTATCGATCTTAAAATTGAAATTTATTCATTATTTCATCGCAGTTACTTTCAAGGTCAATTTTAAAATTGACAGAGGTACTTTTAGAAAAAACATTTAATACAAAAGTTTCTTATTTTTTCATGTACAATTCGAATCTGTAATAAAAAGTACCATATTTCCCTTAAAAAATTCAATTTCCGATTCGGATGGTGTATTTCCGATCGGAATCAAAAGTTAAAAATATCACTATTTGATAAAGCGTATTTACATAAAAATTATGCGTGATTTTTGATAAAAGCCATTTATTTCATTTTAAAAGGGATGCACGGGTGGTCTGGGACACCCCGTATATCTTGCGATTTGAGATGAAGATTTATAAGTGCCATTTTCTCTGAAAATTTTTTTAAAATTAATATTCGCGTATATGTATTTGTAACTATTTAAGAAAAGTAAGAGAAAGAGATTTTTAAAATATATTTTATTCGCATGCGTCCTTTAAGGACTTGGCGAAAATCGAATGATGTTTTCTTTCTTGATATTCTTATATTTAATTCTTCTAATAGTCGTAAATTAATTTAGTACTTTCTTGATAAAAATATTTATAAACATTTATGATTAATATAAAAAATAAAATCTTTCTAATAAATATAATTTTAAATAAACATTTCTGTGGAGATTTTTCCTTTTTAAATTATTGATTTGCTAAATAAATATTTCTTGTGAATTTGCACCTATGATATCCTTATAAAAAGTAAGCGGGCGAGATTTCAAATATAATATTTTATTTAAAATTTTTTATTTAAATACGAAACTATTTCCATCATTATTTTCGACAATCTGCATTTGAAATACGTCCACCACTGGTGGACAGGCAGCAATGCGCGAGCCGCTTCATGTGTCGTCGCATTACCCCTCGAAATACAATCACGACGAGTACCACGAGATGCCAAATGCGATCATTCCCTATGAACAATTACTGATTATCGGCCCCGGTTGATTAATTAACTCTCGCGATTAAAATTACTTGTAAGCGTGGACGCGATATGAGAGTTATTTATCAACGCAGCTGTTTCGCGCAATTTATTTATTTGAAGTAGAAATCGGAGCGCACGCAATATGGAGCGGAAATTATAAATTATTATCCAATCCCGCAATATTTGCCTATAAACATAAATATTCATGGGTATTTCTTTACCGAATGCCTTTGCATTTGAATATATCGCCCGTCGTGCTTTGAATTTCTTGTCGATTTCAACGTAATCTATGTAAAATCATTTTTAGATCGAAAGCACATATTCGAATCGAGTGATTAAAATATAACAGAAAACGGTCGTAATCAACCATTTATTAATAAATATTAATATTTCGCGGAATTTATGCTTCCAAAATGCATCGAATTTTAATTCATTCGCATATATTGTAAAATTATATAAGTGACTGTCCTACAATGTTATATTATTATATTTACATTATTTACATTATTTACATTATTCATAATTTTTATATATGTTGTTACATCATATTATACATACATTATATTATCTTTTATTTCAAATACGCGAAAAGTATAAGCAAGTAAAGTTTCTCACGCAATATTTGAATTTCCTTTATTGTTCGATTTATTTGATTATGATAAATTGCTATTTTTCATATAATATAACCAGTGTCATTCTATATCAGTACTTTTATTCTTTTAAAAAGATTAAAAAACCGATATGAAATGAAAGGAATGAAATTATGATGTGTATATGAAATAAATTCAATATTAAAATATTAAGAATAATTCTTACCTAATTAAAAATTAAAAATTAATATTAAAAATAATTCTTAACTTTTGTATTATATTAAAAATAATTTTGATAATATATTTTATATCATATTAAAAATAAGAAAGAATTAAATAAATTAGAATTATTTTTAAAAGAATAAAAATAATTTTGATGATATTTTTCCGCGAGATTTGATAAAGAGATATTTATATTGATATAGAAATTTATAACCATAAATATAAAATATGAGAAAATTATATTGATACTGCTACTGTGCAACAACTTATTATTTGTTTCGGAGATTTTATGGCAGATTGAACTTTAGACGTTTCTTTATCATTAACTGACCGCAGTTTCCTTCTGCGGGTTTGATATATATGTGTGTGTGTGTCTATTCATTAATATTGATTATAATTCTACTATTGTTATATCATCCGTTAACAGTCGATTTGTCTTTTATGCTAAATGGTGCCACATCATTCGACCATGAATCAATATTTGCTGCAAATAAATATACTTAGTACTGATTATATTCTTCTATTCTAATTTAAATGGGGAATTCAAAAATTCTCATGGCATAAAATACATTCAATTTTAATTTAAAAAAGATATTCGTTCGAAATAGAATATATAATATTTAACAGATTATACTTGTAATTTTTATTTATTTATTATTATTATTTTATTTTCTAAATATAATTTCTCATAAGTATATCAAATAAAAAAATTTATATTTAATGTTTAATATATTAATTATATAATATAAGAGAAACGGATATGATAAAATTGATTCTTAATTTATTTATATATCTTTTTATATTTGTAATAAAAATGTTTTAACATTATTTTCTTGTCGAGGAGAAATGACACAAGCGCAGATTATATTTGCGATTAATTATACAAAAAATTAATTATAGATTAATTATTGCATTTTATTTATAGATGAAATTTTTGTTTATCACTGCATACTTCGGAAAAAAAGATCATTAAGAAAATGTTCTGACGTTAATAGTTTTTTTACAATATTTACCGTCTATAATGGCAAAGTTCAATAATTGAACAAGTGAGAAATAATTACGTAATACATTCTTACAAAGTATATTTTAAATAATGTAAAGGAAGGCAGGATGGAAGGAGAATAAAAAAATCTTGATTCCCGTACAATACACCTTGTGATAGCCTTGGCAGTTGACATCTTGAATCATTCTTTGAAAAAAAATCTTGTATCTTGAATATAGAAAAATGTCGTTAAAGGATATATTTGAATCTAAATATCGATATCACATAATATAAGCGAAGCTGTGACAATGGAATTTATTGCAATCAATGTGTAAATAATACACAACACATAAATATTTATATTTATTATAATATCTGCAGATATAGATATTAATAAAATAATTAATACATATAAATAAACATATAAAAATTATATATGGAATATAATATACAAAAACTAAAATGTGTGCACATGAAAAAGATATTTCTAGCCATAAATTTTATATAATTGACTGTGCTGATGTTCGATTCATTTCTGAATCCTTTTTCTTGGGAAATTCTAAGAGACGTTTAAAATTTTACAAAAAAAAAAGAAAATATTGACAATACACATGACTCATACTTATGACGCATGGAAGTAAATTCTCTTCTCAAAAAGAGATCTTACAAAATATTTATAAGTATCTTATGTATTAAAAAATTAATTTATGTTTAATCATAATCATTTTCAAGATTTTCTATGGCGAAAAAATAAGTGACTATCAATCACTTCTCATGGATTATATCGAAACGCCATCGTTTGCCGAAGGTTTCTTACGGCGCACAAGTGCACACATGCATTTAAACGCGCACTCCGATGCACACACACGTTACCGTGCAATTTCCTTGACTCGGCTGGACGGACGCTGCGTGAACAAACGCGGGATACGTGGGCCGGCAAGGACCCACTGGGCT